GATGTCTACCTGGCCATTAGAGCTGTTAACTCTGAATCCCAAATTGTAGTTTGTCTTGGATTGAATGTACAGAAGATGCATTAAACAACCATCCCTAGGGTATTGAATTTTTATATTTTACCATGCACTGCTGGTTTTTAAAAATGCAAGTTTTATCACCTAAAGGTATATGTCAAATACTGGAATACTGTTGCAGCTAATAAATAAGGGATGATCTCAGGTTCAGAGTGAACCTGAGTTAGCTTAGGTTTAAATCATGTTCAATTTGAACCTGAGTTCATCTCTACTATTAATATTATTAGTGTTTTTATATTCAGACAGTCATTTAAGTTTAAGCCTTGTTGGAAGGGCCTCTGAAAGCCCATATTACACAAGAAGCATACACAGGATGAAGCTGTTGATATATATCACAATCTGATTGTGCAATCTCCTCTCTACTGTTGACTACACAGTGCTCAGGTCTGCCTGATTGGGTTCAGATTGATTATACTGCTTTTATAGGTCTTACGATTTAGGTTGGACTTGATGGACTAATGTCTTTATTCAACCTCAAATACTATGTAACTATGTAACATTTTGGTCAATCTAAAGGAGATTGTACAATCAAATTGCAATGTATATGGCCAACTTAACACACCTACATATACACATAAACAGAACTGAACTTCTAGGCAAATACTGGTTTTCCTTACACAATTTCATACCAATGATCTTTGTAATTCACATAATAAACCATCAGCAAACATAGAATTTTTATGCAGTGACAGTACCACTCACATTTACTGATATGTTTACAGGCACGCATACACGCAATTCTAAGATCATGAAATTCACACAAGTCTAATCAGTAAACAGGAAGTGATCTAATAGCACATTGCTCCTGGCAAATGAACAATGTCCCTAAACCCCTTTACTGAAAAGGATGGAGATATGATTAGAGTAGACAGCAGGTGTTGTGAGCACAGGCGATGGTTTTTAGATTGTTTACTTTACCAATGGATATATTAAGAACATAAGTTTTAGGTTATTTTGTTAAAATTAATTTCCAAGCACATTATCATAGTCTTTTTCAGTAAAAATAGTTTGAAGTATTTTAAAATCCAATCACTAACATCTCAAACAAGCCTTAACATGTTAATGTTAATATAAATGCCATTTTCAAACATCTACTGCTTTTATTAAAGCACCAGCTGGTAATTCTGTCATGAAGGCCCTTGTTCAGTAATAGTGTAATAAGGCTCTGTCCCTGTCTTCTGTCACCCCGTCACTCACGCTTCCTATAGAAACTACAAGAAGTCATTTAAAGTAGAATTATGGGGTGAGTGAAAAACATTCATCCCCATAATTCAAGCTGCCTTGTGACACTGAAGCTGTCATAGGTCAGCTCTATTGTTCGGGAAGTCAGCAAACACATACCGCTGATGACTTCCCGTTTCTCTCCCTGCAGAGAGAGGTGACTGTCAGTTACTGCTCCCCCGCAGGGATTCCCACCCTCCCCTCTCTGTTTCTCTAGTGCTAACTAGAGGAATGGACAGGGGAGGGGGCAGGCGCAGCTGTCAATCAGCCAGCGGGGTGGATCTCGACAGTATTGTCAGGATCCGTCCCGGGTGTGGAGTGGCTCTGCACTCTCAGCTATATACTGAGTTTTGGGTCAACAGAGGACATTATTATATGTCCTCCTATGACCCTGAAGAGAATTATGGGCCAAAAAGGTTGCCCCATAGTTCTCCTTTAAAACACATTACACTTGCATGTTCTTCTGTTGTCAAATCCGGCCGAAGTAATGCCATGCAGCCTTAGCGGGTGTGCATATAGAAAATAAGTGACTGTAAGGAGGCTGCATTAGATCATCTGTGCTGAGATGCAACATATGATGAAAAAAGGTAAAAACAAGTATTTAAAAAAATTGCAGTTTTCATTCAGTTAGGGGGAAAACATTGATAAACAGACCCCCTAAGAGGTATAAGTCAAGCTTGCTTAAACTGAGCTGAAACCTTTCCTTTTAAGTGTCCTGTACAAAAAAGCAACATTAGCAAAACTGAAATTTGGAATGTCTTGACTTTTAAATATTGCTACTTGCCAGCTATGGCAAAGCCTATGTATGTGAAATAATCACAAAATTGAAGTGATTGAGTCAGCCCATGATTCTGTATCTACTAACTTAGGTTCGGTTGAGTACATAGAAAGATGATGATTATACACACAAGAAAACAAGAAAAACCTGAAAAAGAAAATGAATGCAACCACCATATTTAGGAACTGGTCAGCTTAAAATGTATTGCCACTGTTGCAACCAAATTGGGATAACAGATATTTTATATTTGTTACATATTCCCATTTACATAGCATAAGCTAAAATATATGAGTGGTACTGACAAAAACCTGCAATCAGCCATGTTGCCTGCTGTAGCAAAACATCTAAAAGGAATGGAATTATTATTGTTGTATTATTTTCCAGTACACTGTGGGATTTTCTCATGCATGACTGCAAAAAAGGAAATACATTTTAAATATATTCATTTTTAGTTTTGGATTTAGATACACTTTCACTTTAAAAAAGCTTACTTAAATGAGAACTATGGGGTAACCTTTTTTTCCCATGGTTCTCTTTAGGGTCATGGGAGGACATGTACTAACTTTCTCCCATGACTCAAAACTCAGTATATAGTGGGTTATTGCCTGATATATGCTGAGAGAGTTGCAGCTGGGATAGATCCCTATAATACTCTCAAGATCCACCCCGCTGGCTGATTGTCAGCAAGCTCTGCCTATCTAGAGGCAGAGCCAGCTATGCCCTCCCCCTCCCCCATCCCTCCCCCTTCAGTCAGCACTGGAGGATCAAAGAGGGAATTCCTGTGGGGAGGGTTGACTGACAGTCACCGCTCTCTGCAGGGAGATGATTAGGAAGTGAGTGAGCAGTGGTATGTTTTCACTCACTTCCCGATCAATAGAGCAGATGTGTGACAACTTCAATGCCACGCACGGGCTCTAATTAGTTCTCCTTTAAGTGTCTGGGAAAAGCCCATAAAGCCAACTTGAAAGAATAACTTTCCTACACTTTGTAGTCCAATACAAACTGGACATGCTGCTAAATTGCACCAAGAGTTCATTTATAGTGGAGAGCAGATATTGCTATCAACTCTCCATTACATTGTGCTTTGCTACACCTACCATGGCCAATCTTGTTCGATAAACATGGGCAGTGGTGTATAGCCAGTGAAGCCTTCATGCACCTGCTTTATGGCCATATTGCTGATTTTTAAATGAGCCCCTAAGCATAGGTCAGTGATGTCTATAAAGCTACTAGCCAAAATACAAGAATGGGAGCAGTTGAAATACAACCATCTGTAAAAATACAAACAACTGACATTATCCTTCATTTCAAATAATACAGATCTTAGATAAGCTAATCTATTTTTTATTCTAATACCTGACCGACCTTTACTGTCCTAGTTAGTTCACAGTCCGAGAACTAACAATCACACAGAACTGTTTACCATGAACTTAGACACTGATTTACTAGAGTGTGAATCAAGGTGACGTTCTTGTAAACTTCAAACTATCAGTCATGGAAAGGAGAAACTCTATTGGAACTTCTGAAGAGAACCCACGCTCCCTTTACTTTACTGCACTTTTTTCATACTTAGTGAAACAGATACTGTATTTAATACAGATACTGACACAAACAGTTGTATTCAATATTCCTATTCATTTAGGCTATGAATGGTCTATTCATTGGTTGGTATTTCATTCAATGGTATTGACATAAAATAGATCAAATTGATGGAAATAATCAATGTGTTCAACCTATGTAGTGGATGTCTAATCTGAGTAGTTGTTAAGCAGGGAAGAGAGAATAAATGTAGTGAAATACAGAGCTGTGCCATTCATAATGAATACACACAATCACATAAATGCATATAGCATGTATTGCCACAATGCTATAGCTTGAATAAGCCCTAACAGGAATTTTGAACAGTTGTCACTAAGGATGAGCAAAATTGACAGTTTTGCTTTGCTGAGATCTTACTAAAATGTAGACATTTTGGAAAAATGCATTGCAGTTATAAGCAAAAGCAAAATTAAGATGGTTTTTGGTGTTTTTTAAGGGTGTGATGACTATTAAATGGCCCCTAAGGCCTCATTCACATAGCATAGAGTGGGGCCGTACAGATCCGTGCGGCGTGCATGGCCGTATCAGGCCATTGCCTGAAAGGACAGGTGCTGCGTGTGATCGTATGCAGCAGCCTGTTCTTCCCTGTGGAAGGACGCGACCGTACTAGGTTGTACGCTCACCCGAGCTGCACATCCGTGCGGGTGTCCGTACTCAGATGCAGACAGCAAGAACAACTGCACCCGCATGGATGTGCAGCTCGAGTGAGTGTACATAATTACATAGTTACATAGTTAATAAGGTTGAAAAAAGACACAAGTCAATCGAGTTCAACCTATAGAGATATTAAAAAAAGAAATTAAACAAAGAAAAGCCTAAACAGAACACTATGCCCCAATTTATCCACTGTTGATCCAGAGGAAGGCAAAAAACTCCTATACACATGGTTCAATTTGCTACAACTGGGGAAATAAATTCCTTCCTGATCCCATAAGGCAATCGGATATTCCCTAGATGAACAATCTCTGATGCTTAGTATACCTATAAGAACTCCAGTAATATCCAGTAATATTCTGTGCACTTAGGAATACATCCAGATTTGTTTTCAAACAATGAACTGAGCTAGCTAGAACTAGCTTCTGGGGGAGTCTGTTCCACATTTTCAAAGCTCTAACTGTGAAGAATGTTTTCTGTATACTGCGTCCTCCCATAGGGAAGAACAGGCTGCTGCATACAATCACACACAGCACGTGTCCTTCCCAGGAACGGCCCGATAGGGCCGTGCACGCTGCATGGTTCTGTAGGGCCCAACTCTACACTGTATGAATGAGACGTAACAAGTCATGTTATGCTGCATAGGAAGTATATATAGAAAATAAATATTTACCCAAGACAACCGTATTGAAAGATACGATTTCTTTGTCCTTCCCGTCATTGTAAAATGCCAAGTGCCATATCCCAACATCTAAATACTGGACAAACACGGCCTCATTCTGCACCAAAGTTTGAATGCTGCGACGTTCTCTTGGGGCTTCAACAACACTCCACTTCTCTTTGCCATCCAAACGCTCCATGAAGTCATACTGAAAAGCATATCAATAAAAAAGACTGTGTTTTAAACTAGGTAATGCAATTAAAAACTGAAAATAAAATTATTATGCATCCATACATCCATGCATGTTTTTTAAGTCATCACATGTGAATATGTTGCAATATTATATACATAGATGAAGTAATTAGTGTCTTTAGTTACCTCGAAAGAAATCCACAAAGTAAGTTTACATCATGGCATCAGAGTTCACATAACATAGCACAGGGGGAAGGCTAACTATAAACTAAAAGCATTTTTAGTATGCTTGCATGTATGTGTACATACAGTGGATATAGAAAAGAATCCCCCCCTTTAAAACAATCACATTTTGTTGCTTTGCTGGCTGAAATGAAGACAGGCACAGCTTTTGTTTTATCCGGCTGTATTCACTCAGTGCAACTTATAACATCCAAGTGAAAAATAGAACACCAACATGTCAAACATTTTTTTAACATTTCAAAAACAGAATCACTGAGTTGGATAAAGGATCGCACCCTCCTAAAATGACTTGTAAACTCAATCAGGTAAAGCTAATCAACTATGGGTGGCAAGGCACTGTCCAAAGATCTCCGCGATAAAGTTGTGGACAGGCACAAGTCAGAAAATGGATACAAAAAAATGCCAAATGCTTTATCAATGCCTAGAAGCACAGTGAAGTCTATTATTAAGAAGTGAAAGGTATTTGGTAAAACACAGACCCTCCCTGAATCAGGAGGTCACTCCAAACTGGAGAAAAGGGCCAGGAGGAAACTGGTCAGAGAGGCTACCAAGAGACCTACAGTAACTCTGAGGCAGTTGCAGGAATTTATGACAAAGAGTGGTCATTGTTTGCATGTGACAACAATATCACAAATTCTCCACAAATGTGGCTTGTATGGGAGGGTTGAAAGAAAAAAAAAGCCATTCCTCAAGAAAGGCCACATGCAGTCATGACTGAGTTTTGCCAAAATGACCATTGAAGATTCTGAGGCCACATGGCAATGGTGTTATGGAATTGTTTGACCTCATCACCAAACAATATGTCTGTCGGAAATTCAATACAGCTCACCATCCAAATAACACCTTTCCTACAGTAAGGCATGGAGGTGGTAATATCCTGTTATGATGGTGTTTCTCTGCAGCAGGGACTGGATCACTTGTCAGGATAGAAGGAAAAATGGATGGGGCAAAATACCATCACATTCTTGAGGAAAATCTGCTGTCCTCTGCCAGAAAGTTGTCAGTGGAAAGTAGGTTTACCCTATTTAACATGACAATGACCTAAAGCACACAGCCAAAAAAACAAACAGTGGTTGAAGGAGAAAAAGGTGAATGTCCTAGCATGGTCTAGTCAGAACCCAGACTTAAACCCCATTGAAAATCTGTGGAATGACTTGAAGACTGCAGTCCACAAACGGTCACCATCAAATTTAACTGAACTTGAGCAGTTCTGCAAAGAAGAGTGGGCAAATATTGCAAAGTCTAAATGTGCAAAATTAGTAGAGACATATCCCAACAGACTAAAGTCTGTAATTAAAGTAAAAGGCGGTTCAACAAAATACTGACACAGGGGGTGATCTTATTTCCAACTCAGTGATTCTGTGTTTGATTTTTTTTATTTCCTTCTGACATGTTGGGGTTGTATCTTTCACTTGCACTGAGTAAATACAGCTGGATAAAACAAAAACTGTGTCTGTCTTCAATGCACGCTGCAAAGCAACAAAATGTGATTTTTTTAAAAGGGGGTGATTCTTTTGTATACCCACTGTATAGCTATAAATTGCATGTATATGCAATATATATAGCATGTTCCCATCCCATGAACATTCCATTCCAAAACCAGGGAAATGAATATAAAGATGGTGCCACTCCCTTTTGCAGCTATAAAAGCCTCCACTTCTCAGGAAAGACTTACTACAAGATTTTGAAGTGTGTCTATGGGAATTTGTGCACATTCAGCCAACAATGGTCAGATGATGATGTTGGATGAGAAAAACTGACTTTCAATTGGCATTCCAATTCATCCTAAAGGTTTTCACGGCTCTGTCCAGGTCTTCCCTGCCACACTCATCAAACCTGACTTTAGGCACAGGTACACAATCATAATGGAACAGATAAGAGCTTTCCCCAAACTGTTGCCACAATATCAGAAGAGCAATTGTCTAAGGCACCTTTGTACCGTAAACAGTAGCATTAATACCCTGTATTTGTACTTTATGCTGTAGTACAGTATGCTTTGCTAGATCACTCTAAAGTAGTAAAAGTTTAAAACCAAATTGTTAGTGTACATGACTGTTCTTATGACACACGCATCTATGTGTAGTGTAGTTCTGAGTAAGTGCTATTCCCAGAGTGGTGACCAGAACATAAACACACTATGGCAACAGGGAGGGTGATGTGGTGTACATACCCTAATTAGAGCAGATCACCTAATATAAGGCACAGACAACATTCTGTCAAGTTAAAGTATTATTAAAGCCAAAGGGGTTTTAATCTATTTCAAAAGCTGGTTAAATCAGTTACAATGAATGCTGTTCCTTGATGTTTAAACATTTTAGCTTCCTGCAGAATTAGCTGGTCCCCTGACCACTGGTCCTGACTTCCTGTTTTGGAGAGACTCCTTTCTCAAGCAGAGAGAGCTATGCAGTCACCCTTGTGTGTGCTAGTAAGCTGTGTGTATCTTCACAAAGACACAGCAAATCAAGCTACTCCCCCCGCCCCCTCTTCTCCCTCCTCCCTTCTCCAAGCTAGTAGATGAACAGTTGCTGTCGTTTGTGATCTTGTACTGGACAGAAAGTTTAGGGAAGCTGAGAGACTTGGAAGCAGCTATTCAGAAACATGATTGTAGATGTTTGGGCAAAAATGTAAAGCAATGCTTTGCTGGCCAATGTATATTTGTTTGATCTGGATTCATTATTGAAAACAATTTTGAGAGTTTAATACTACTTTAAACATATTTTATCTCATCTGTTTTTTCGCCTCAAGGTGAAATAGAAATGTTTTGTTTCCTGTACATTTTTGCATTATTGTTTATTTAAAAAAAACAAAAACGGGGTAATGTCGAACCGGCCCTTAGTATAACATTACAGATTATGATTTTAGTAGCAATATATGTATTTTATTTTAATATTAGAATATTTTGTTATATGTATTAGCCATTTCACAGGTTTGCAAATTTCTCAGTGAAACATAGCAAAACTGCTTTGAATATTTCTTTTGTCTGAGATGTAAAGCAGGAAAGCTGTATCATGTTGCCATGCCTGAATGATGAATCTATTAGAAAAGTCATATTAGTAATATGCCTTGGCTCTCCATTCAGTAGTACAAGAATGAGAGTAATGTGCTGTTAACAATACATTAGCTTCAGTTCAAGTAAATGGAAGTCAATGCATTGCTAACTGTGCATTAGATTTTACAATGAATAATCCCCAAAATGGATCTGTAAAATATTGCATAACTATTCCTATAATGTCAGGGAAGGGATATTGAGTAATGAAACCATTATCAATCTCTGCACTGTTTTATCAAATAATATAGAGAATTTGAAGGTGACACTGGCACAAATCTATGTATTTCCAAAACTGTTCCTTGTAGACCAGCTCCCAGATGTAGGAAGAACTACCACTGATGCAAAGACATTATTGTGGTTTGTGCAGTGCTGTCAATTCATTATGCTGATGCTTTTTGAAACTACACCCTCTCCATAGTTAATGCTGGTTAGGGTACACTTAAAAATATTTCCGCATGCCCATGTAGAGTGGTCAACTACAGAAAGATCTCTATTTTCTATGTCATTACATTTCCATTGCATGCAATTACATATTTTCTTATGCCTGGAGTCCTTAGAAAGCTACTGGTCAATGATCATATATGACCCTCAGTTTTCAATCACAAAGCTGTGTACTGAGCCTGAAAATAAGATATGATAAAATAATTTTGCATTTTTTTAAACCCATATCTCAAAAATGAGTTAAAGACAGAAGTAATATATTGCGGGGGGGATTTATCAAAACTGGAACTGACCAAATCTGAAGCAGATTTGCATTGCAACCAATCAGCTTCGATTTCACATTTTCAAATCCTAACTGAGCAAACGGAAGAAAGATGCTGATTCGTTCCAATGGGCAACTGCTCCAGTTTCTGTCTGCTTCAGTTTTGATAAATTCCCCCCTGCCTCTCTTTTGTGGCACTTTGTAATGATTAGGCCTAACAGTCAACTGTCAAAGCCTTTTTCAATAATGAACTGTACCACAGCACTTTCCCTCAACACTGAGAGAGTACCTTAAAAGGAAGGCACGGAAGGAAGCCTCCCCCCTTGCACTGCTTCTTGACCTCTTTTTGAGGTGGACAACAGCCTCATTCCCACATCTTGTGTCCCATGAGGTTTGTGGGGGGTCTTTAGGGGACAGAATTATTGAAACCTGAAAGCCCCCTTTAAAATAAGGAGGCCCCAGAAATCCAGCCCTCCCATATGAATGAGCATGGAGTACCCCTTGTTACCCATTCACAAAAAAGATAGCAAATTAAAATAATAACACAAACACTGTAGAAAAATTCCTTTATTTGAAAAAAGTTAAGTAAATAAACAAGGTTCCCGAATGTATATCCAGCATTAGTCCTGTCCAACAGCAATGTAGATTTACATTAATCTTAATGAACAATACATGACGATGTTAACCAGACAAAATGACTCGTACTACTTCCAGTACAAATGGCAACTCCCAGTAATGTAAATAAACAGGTTGGGGATCCTGGGTAATGGGAGCAAACAAATTTGGTCATGACCATATTTGGTTAATGAGATCACCAGGGATTTTGACGCTGTCCTGGAGTTGTCATTTGCCAGCTATTTCTCATTGTGCTGATGCTAGATCTACATCACCAGGTGAAGTGTACCCCTTATTAATTAGCATACAAAAACTGCATGTTGGGCCACCTTATTCTTAGGACAAAGTGCTTTGCAAGGAGGGTCTTTTACTCTTGCAAGGCTCTCCATGTTGAGGACATGTGGCC